TGTTTGTTTTCATTTCATTTAGTTCTTCTCTCATCTTGGTTGTTTCTTATCTTTTGCTGGGTTTGTGTTTGGTTTGTTCTTGTTTCTCTATTTCCTTGAGATGTGACCTTAGATTGTCTATTTGTGCTCTATCAGACTTTTTGATGTAGGCATTTCATGCTATGAACTTTTCCCTTAGCACTGCTTTTACTATATCCCAGAAGTTTTGATAAGTTGTGTCATGATTATCATTCATTTCAAAGAATTTTTAAATTTCTATCTTGATTCCATTGCTGATGCAAAGATAATTCAGGAGTGGATTATTTAATTTCCATATATTTGCATAGTTTTGAGAGTTCCTTTTGGAGTTGATTTCCAATTTTATCCCACTGTGGTCTGAAAGAGTACTTGTTATAATTTTGATTTTCTTAAATGTATTGAGACTTGTTTTATGGCCTATCATATGATCTATCTTGGCGACTATTCCATGTTCTGATGAGTAGAATGTGTATTAGTTGTTGGATAAACTGTTCTATAAATATCTATTAAGCCCATTTTTCTAGTGTGTGTTTTCTTTGTTTATTTTCTGTCTTGATGCTTTCTAGTTCTGTCAGTGGAGTATTGAAGTCCCCTACTATTATTATGTTCCTGTTGATCTCATTTCTTACATCTACTGGTGATCGTTTTATAAATTTGGGAACTCCAGTGTTAGATGCATGGCTATTTAGGATTGTAATATTTTTCTGCTGGACTAGTCCTTTTATTGTTATATAATGTCCCTCTTTGTCTTTTTGGACTATTCTTTCTCTAAAGTCTGTTTTGTCTGATATAAGAATAGTTATTCCTGCTCAATCTTGGTGTCCATTTGCATGCAATATATTTTTCCACCCCTTTACCTTAAGTTTATGTTAGTCCTTATATGTTAGGCAAGTTTCTTGAAGACAGCAGATACTTGGTTGGTGAATTCTTATTCATTCTGCCTTTCTGGATCTTGTAAGTGGAGCATTTAGGCCATTTACATTTAATGTTAGTATTGAGAAATGAGGTACTATTTTACTCATTGTGCTAGTTGTTGCCTGAATATCTTGGGGTTTTTTAAAAATTGTGTTATTGTTTCATAGGTCCTGTGGGATTTATGTTTTAAGGAGATTCTATTTTGGTGTATTTTGGGGTTTTGCTCCAAGATTGAGAACTCTTTTTAGCAGTTCTTGTAGTGCTTTCTTTGTAGTGGCAAATTCACTTGGTAGTAATGAATTCAGCATTTGCTTATCTGAAAAATACTTTATCTTTCCTTCATTTATGAAGCTTAGTTTTGCTGGATGCAAAATTCTTGGTTGATAATTATTTCATTTAAGGGGGCTAAAGTAAGGATAATTACTTCATTTAAGCAGGCTAAAGATAGGAGCCCCATCCCTTCTAACTCATAGGGTTTCTGCTGAGGAATCTGCTGTTAATCTTATAGGTTTTCCTTTATAGGTTACCTGATGCTTTTGCCTCATAGCTCTTAAGATTCTCTCCTTCATCTCAACTTTAGATAACCTGATGAGTATGTGCTTAGATAATTATCTTTTTGCAATGAATTTCCTGGGTGTTCTTTGAGCTTCTTGTATTTGGATGTCTAGATCTCTAGCAAAGCCAGGGAAGTTTTCCTCAATTATTCCCTCAAATAAGTTTCCAAACTTTAGATATCTCTTCTTCCTCAGGAACACAAATTTATTCTTAGGTTTGGTCATTTAACATAATTCCAAATTGGTTGGAGGCTTTGTTCATTAAAAAAAAAATTTCTTTGTCTGTGTTGGATTGGTTGAATTCAATAGCATTGTCTTTGAGCTCTGAAGTTCTTTCTTCTACTTGTTCAATTCTATTGCTAAAACTTTTCAGTGTATTTTGCATTTCTCTAAGCATGTCTTTTATTTCCAGAAGTTATTTTTTAATGTATAGTATCTATTTCTCTATAGTATTTTTGTCCATATCTTGTATTATTTTAAAATTGTCTTTAAGTTGGTTTTCACCTTTCTCTGGTGCCTACTTGAGAAGCTTAATAATCGACTTTCTGAATTCTTTTTCTGGCAATTCAGAGATTTCTTCTTGGTTTGGATCCATTACTGGTGATCTTGTGTGATATTTGGGGAGTATTACAGAACCTTGTTTTATTATATTGCCAGAATTATGTTTCTGGTTCTCATTTGGGTCAGTTATGTTAGAGGAAAGGTCCGGGACTCAAGGGCTGCTGTTCAGATTCTTTTGTCCTATGGGTAATCTCTTGATGTGGTGTTCTCCCCTTTCCTCTAGAGATGGGGCATCCTGAGAGCTGAACTGCAGTGATTGTTATTGCTCTTCTGGATCTAGTCACCCAGGGAAGCTACCAGGCTCCAGGTTGGTACTGGGGAGCATCTGCAAAGAGTCCCATGTTGGAATCTGTCTTCAGGTCTTTCAGCCATGGATATCAGCACCTACTCCAGTGGAGGTAGCAGGGGAGCGAAGTGAATGCTCTGAGAGTCTTTGGTTGTAGTTTTGTTTAGTGCATGGGTTTTCTCAAATGCTGGTTGTGCTAACTTGTCATGTGGACAGACTCAGGACCTCTGGTTAGCCAGGCTGCTTACAAGTGGTAAAATTGCTGTTGTTTTCTCCTTCCTTGGGGCAGGGCTGTTTTGCTATAAGTTGCTGTAATGGCCTGACTTGATTGGCCTCCATCCAGGAGGTGGTGATTTCAAGAGAGAATCGGCTGCAACAGTATAGGGGAAATACAAGCTTGTCCTAAAGTCATCTGTATAAGTATTTGTGTTTCTTAGGTGATGGGCAGGGTTATAGGGCTCCCACAAGATTATGTCTTTTGTCTTCAGCTACCAGGGTGGGCAGAGAGATCATCAGGTGGGGGCAGAGTCTGAGCTCAAGGATGTCTGAGCTCAGACTATCCCTGGGCAGGGGTTGTTGTGGCAACTGTGGGATATGGGGGTGTGGTTCTCAGGTGGATGGAGTTATATTCCCAGGGGGATTATGGCTGCCTCTGCTGCTTTGTACAAGTAGCCAGGGAAGTAGGGGAAAGCCAGCAGTGACAAGCCTCACCTCACTCCCACACAGCCAGCAAGGCCAGTCTCACTCCTGCCATACTACCCCAATAGCCAGCAGAGCCAAATTTATAGCCAAGCCCCTGGTATGCAGGGCTGAGATCATGCCCTGGGCTACTAGCCTTTCCGCTGAGAAGGCAAGCAGAGCTTTCAGGCCTCATCCCTCCCTGCCTGCTATGGCTTCTGTGATAGTATCTGCACTTTTGGTTCATCGCTACAGATTTTGGCCAGGACAATTCACACTCAGTCAAAATTATTAAAAAGTTCAGCTGGAAGTTTCCTTCTCCCTGCAGCCCTTCCCCAATTCCACTGGCAGCCCTCCCCAAGGAACCCTGTGAGATTAAAGTCAGAAATGACTTCCCTGAACTTTCCAGGGGACCAGGAGTGCCTGCAGGGTTCTTCCCACTGCTTTTTCTACTTTTATACTTTTCTTGCCTCTCTAAATTCATTTCAGCTCTAGGTAAAGTTAAATCCTTCTCCCTTGATCTGGATTTTCAGGTTTCCCCAGTGAGGATGCGTGTTCGGAGGTAGACTTTCCCCCCTCACACTTTAGGCACTCACATTTTTTCAGCTATCTTACAGAGTTTGGAGTGGCAACTCACTTCTTTCAAGGGGTCTGTGAATTCTTTCAGCTTTCTTGGTATGTTCTTGCAGTGGTTCTTGGAGCAAAAGTTCATGATGTGGGTCTCCAAACACGTTCGTCCAAGTGAGAGCTACAAGGCAGCCCTGCCTCCTAGCTGTCATTCCCACCGTCCCCACACACCAGGGTAATTATCAACATCATCGTCTTTTATTTTCCAATGGCTCTCAGTAGAGCACATAGTGATCTACCTATCATAATATTTCAATTGCCTGTGTTCTTTGTATCTCCTGCTAGATGATAAGCTCAAACACTTAGTAGGAACTTAATAACTATTTGTTGAATGAGTGAAGCATTGAGTAGAACTAGAAGTCTTCTGTGAAATAAACTTAGTACAGTTAACCTTGTAAAGCCTGTCATCAATCCACATTGGCCTCCCTATCTCCTTTCCGCCTGTCAGAGCTGAAAACCAGCCACAGCTTCAGCCAGTTTGTGACAGTCCACATCCTGTAGATACAAAGGAGTGGCAGAGATGCTGAGGTTTGGTGGCTTGTGTTGCTATATCACCCTCTTGTGGCTGGTATGTGGAACTCATTACAAAATCCTTTGTGTGGTATAATCTCTAAAGTGGTAGTTCTATAGATCTCAACCCAGATCTCATTTTGGTTTCAGGTTAGATTTGGGCATCAGTATTTTTAAAAGTTACCCAGGTAATTCTAACATTTATGTAACCTTGGGTGGCAGATTTGGGTCATGCTTAAATGACCAGGTGGCCACCTTTGGTAGATCTACTTCTTGGTATATAGAAATGTATTTAGTCCTCTCAAAGCTCACCAGAGGGCCAGCATATCTCCAGATCAGTGGTTCTCAACTGGGGGAGATTTCGCCAAGCAGGGGACATTTGGTGTTTGGAGATACTTGATTGTCACAATCAAGGACAGGGCATGTGCTATGGCACCCAGTGGGCAGAGGCCAGGGGTGCTGTTAAACACCCTACAGTGCACAGGACAGCCCCACAAGAAAAATTTATCCAACTCCAAATGTCAATAGTGCTGCAGTTGAGAAGCCCTGCTCTAGATTTTGTTCACAGGGGGAATTTGGCGGACTTCAGGGAAGGGAATTACTCTGGAAGTGACAAAAATTAAACAATCCTTTCAACACAGGTCTCCATGTGGAGGGTGCTTCCTGATCTTTGGTGAAGGGGATGCCAAGCTAACCTTTGTCCACCCCCAGGAAAGGGACAACCTCACATCCGATCTGATCAAATCTGTCTCCTTCAGCATTTCATAACTATGACATGGAGACGCAAGGCCAGCAAACATGTCATGCCATACTACTGTGTTATAAATCCTTAAGGAAACACAAGACGAAGGTGCAGTTTCCTTGATGGACTGGCTGTAATTTATTTATTTCCAAAAAGTAGAACCATAAACTTCAGAAGAAGAATCAATTCACAGTAGCTTCTCAGCAAGCACACGCCACCCCCTGTAACAATCACATCCCTGCTGTGTGACTGGAGGAAGCGTCCTGAAGAGCCCGGGGCTGTGCCCAGTTGTATTTCAGAACATCAGTGCCTTCAAACCGAGAATGGGTGTGTTCCTCCTGAATTCTCTAGAATTCAGACATGCTTGGTCAAAAGAAAACAGCATTAGAGGGGAAACACGGGGAAAACAGACTGAAATTTCAATTTTATTATTTTAAGCCTGAGGAAAAGGCAAGCTCCCGCTTGCCACTCACCACTCCCACAGGGCCATTTGGGGCAACGAGAGAGTGGTGAGTGTGTGACCAAAAGGGGTTGTTTTTCCACTTTGTAACCATGGTCTAGGGGTGAGAGGCATAATGCCAGTGCTGTCAGATGGGTGCCCTAAAGACTCTTTTCCCAGTGAGGTCTTGATGGACTGGCTGTAATTTATTCATTTCCAAAAATTAGAAACATAAACTTCAGAAGAAGAATCAATTCACAGTAGCTTCTCAGCCAGCACACACCACCCCCTGTGGTTCTTGAGGTCTTGAGCCCAGGGGTTCAGGAAACTTAGAAGTGATAGCCTCTTCTTTACCCTTTGTTTCTGCCTTTCCATCAGGTAGAATTCAGCTACTGGAAAAACCCAAATGTCGGGAGCTGAGCTTCTAGAGCAATCTGAGTTGTACAAATCTTCATTAGTAGCGCCACAGTCTTAAGCATAGATAGCGAATGAGGCTAAGGTTATACAAGGGTGGCGTAGTGGATAATTGTGAACCTTTTTTGTCTGACTGCCACCTGAATCCCACTTCTATTATTTCTAAATTCCCTAACGCATAAGAAGTGAAAGTGGAAAATGCCAGATATTCAATTCCCAACCTCCCTTGGAGATAGGACATGGACATGTGACCTAGGATTGGCCAATCAATCCCAGACTTTGAATTATAAGCTAGAGATGAAAAGATAAAGACAGGACCCTGGAGAATTCATTTTCATGGCAGACAGTGCAGCAGTAACAGTAATATCAAGTTTCCAAGTCCAGCAGAGATAGTGAAGCAGTGGTAGAGTCTAGTGCTGGGGACGGTGGCTGTCCAAGGACAGGATCGCCATCCCTGGGCTCGTTTTGTAAATTTGGCTGTGGACTGAGCCATAGCCCAGTCTCTTTTCCTCCTCACTTTCAAAGCATAGTTTTACAGAACCTTCTAGCAGTTACCGGCCACAGTATCTTTTCAATAGGCTCCTTTTCTACATAAAAAAGCCAAAGCCAGTTTCTGCTGATTGCAACTAAGAACTCTATTACAGAAGATGGTACCAGAAAATAAGTTATGCTAAGCAACAGGCTTGCAATATGAATGGACCTCATAAAGGAGATGAGTTATAAGGCAATAAGGACCTGAGTTTTGAGCTGGGAAGTTGGTGCCCCTTATTATGCAATGGTACGATAGTGGCTATTTCTTACAGTACTCGCCAAGTTTATATAAGAACCAATAAGAAAAGGAAGGGCTTAAATTGAAGACAGCCTGTCTGAAAACAGAGAATAGGAAGAAAATAGGACTTTACCAAAAGAGGCTCTTTCTGGTTGTAGCCTGCAATATAAGTTATTGAGCATTCAGTGATTTGAAGCTCTTAGACCAAAACAACTTAATTTTCTTCTAGAAGATACATTTCATGAGAGGAGAGGCACGCAGGGAGTAGAAAGCGCCTAAGAAAGACCTTGACCTCCAATACCCCTTGAAGCCCTGGATATAAAATAAGTTCGGAATCTGGTCAGAGAGAGTCTTAGCTGAGGCTCCAGGTTTGTGGTTCAAGGGAATAAACAGAGAACTGGGATTTAAACGTCATTTTGAGAAGTGAAGAATCACCCTGAAACAAGTTCCTCTGAGTGTTCCAAGCTGCTTCGTAACAGCACCACCAAACAGTGTTACTTTTTCCTTAAAACTGATTACCATTTGCACAGAACTGTACTTTTAAGGCTCTTACATGGTTTCCAGTCCACTGTTCAAAACTCAGAGATCTCAAAAATCATTCTTTCTGTTTATTGACTCTTTAGCTTCTGGATTTTGCAAATAAAATAATGATATTCTTAGCTTCTTTTGTACAATAATATCAGAGTGTTTATATATATAATAAGAAATTCACCCGTCATCCTCTATTCACTCTTTATCCTGAGAGAGAAACTGAGGCGCAGAGGCTTGATCAGGTCTGCAAGTGATCATGATCAGCTCCCAGAACAAAGTAAAGACAGCCAAAATGTAAACTTTTCCAGATTTTGTGCCTGGTGGTCCACTGTCTGAGATAGGTACTCAGATGGCTTTCAGTCTTTGGTTTTTATTATCCAATTCCAGCCAAGAGCAGGATGCCCAAAATCTGAACTCACATCACTACCCATTTCATCTGCCACAACACAAGGATGCAAAGCTGTTATCAAGTACTTCTCTGTTCTGTACCTGCAGCCACTGCAGAGCAAGCTAAATTCTTGGGAAGCCTCACTTCCTTGTTCATTTCACAGATGCATGTGGAAGAAACATCACCAGAGTATTGATCCAAGAAGGGTACAGATGTGTAGCGTGTCTGCCAGAACTTCAGCCCGGGGCCAAGTTCAGTGTTCGTTTTGGATTTTCTATTTTCCTTCAGAAAGTCCCTTTGTTCGGTCGTTGATGTCAGCTCTCTGGAAGGGTCACACTAGCATAGACTGTGATGGAATTTGTTTCCTGGGGACAAAGCAAAAGTCTGTGAGTGGAGGGACTGGATACTCACTTCACAGGATGCAAACGAAGACAGTGCTGCTGAGGGAAAGGAAAGGGTCTAAGCGATCACGTTGCATGTTGACGTGTGCAGGGTCTGTCACAGACAGGGCCTTGCTGGGGCAGCACCTGGGTTCGCACACTGCTTCTCCACCTGCAACAAGGGCCACAGCTCCCTTCCAAGCATAAACAGGCCATCACGGGGAGCATGATCTGAGGATCGGCACTCAGGGCTCTGTCTCCCTCTTTGCCCTCTCCCCTTCCATTCTCTTGTAAGGAAAACCATTTGTTTTGCTGTTAGGCAGGGTCACAATCTGGGGGAGCCAAGAGAGTTGTAAATTATTGAGTTTTTAAAAAGCCTAGTGGGACTCAAAGGGAGAGGAGAAAAGAGATATTGGCAGGAGAGAGGAAAGGAGGGGAGAAGAGGGTTATGTGCAAAGATTTCGCACAGGGTAAGGAAAGTCCAAGAAACAAAGAGAAGAGAATGGGGAATTTAAGAGGTTTTGCCATAAAATGTTAACTGTCGCATACTGCTGTGTCCTTAAGTAAACGTCTGTAAAAATCTATATTATTTTGAAGCTTTTGAAGTCTGGTTTATATTTTTACTTCCCTCTTGGCTATGACAATGTACTGAGAATGGACCTCAAGTTGAAGATCTATTTTATCTTGAAATAGGACAACTGCCCAGGCATTTCTGGGTGTGTGTGCGGTAGGAGCGTTGAAGAAGAAGGTGGATGCAGGCATTTGTGTGGCCTCTATAATCCTGGGCTCTCTTCTGAAAAAGCCCAAGTGGAGCAAAGATTTCAGCCCAGAATGTATTTCTGCTCATTCAGTAAAGGAAAGATATATGTCAGAAGCAAACTTAGTCCCTGCTGATCTTGCCATAGGGTAGAACAGGCAAGTCTCATTTTGAGCTGCACCTCATATTCTCTTCTAGGCTTTACACCTATGCAGAGATCCAACCCTAAATATTCTGATTAAATAGGGCCAGGCAGAGTCTAGGCATGAGAATATTTACAAAGCTTCCCTGGTGATTCTGTTTTGTAGCTGGAGTTGAGATCTCCTGGACTTCCGCTGCTGTTCTTAAACTTGAGGGTGTATCAGAATTACCTGGGGTGTGGGTTTTTTTTTTTTTAAATATGTAGGTCTCTGTCTACTCTCCATAGACATTTTCATTTAACAGAATCCCAGGTGGAAGGCCCCAGGAATCTTTATTTTTAACAAGTATGCTGGCTGGTTCTGATGTGGTCCTTGGACAACTCTCAGAGAAACACTGGCCAGTAGGGAGTGAGTGGTGGCCCCATGTGCGCAGGTGTTGGGGGTTTCATGGAAACTGGAAAGCCAAGGCCACAGAGACTCCTTACTGCCTGCATGCTGTGGCCTACCTTCCCCAGTCCAGCACTCATCAATCTGTTTCATTTAATTTGTTTTTAAAGTTTTCTTTTTTTTTTTAAACTTTTAAGTTCAGATGTACACATACAGGTTTGTTACATAGGTAAACCTGTGTCATGGGGATTTGTTGTACACATTATTTTGTCACCCAGATATTAAGCCTAGTACCCATTAGCTATTTTTCCTAATCCTCTCCCTCCTTCCACCTAAACAAATCCCCCTTCTTTTCCCCTCCTCCATGTATTCCCTCTCTACAGAGAGTAGGCAGAGAAATGCCTCACCTGGACAGACTCTGGGACAGGCTCTGTGGCAGCAACATAAATGGTGGTGCAAGGGTCCTGAGTCGGGAAGGAGTCAAGTTTCTTCTGAATAGTCTACAAGAGAAGCAAACAATGCAGATTAGCTGAATAGAGAGAGCTAGTTCTCACCCAACTCTCCGACGGAGAAGCAGACTCAAGAAGCCTTGAGGCAGAAAGTTCCTTCATGTCATTTGGCCCAACCTCCTCCCAGGTGGGAATTCTCCCCCAGATTCCCTGGAACTCAATTTCCCAGGCTTTGCTTGAACTCCCCAAGCGGCGTCTTGGAGCACGCAACTTCCCAAGGCAGCCTCATCCATTGTTAATGCTTCCCAGATATTTTAAATGTCTTCCTCACAAGAAACTGAAATTGATGTGGCTCTTACAGAGGCAGCTCAAGGGGACAGAATAGTAACAGAATTTAGTCTGTCTCACTCATGTCACCGGCTACACACAGAGTTCTTGCATCCCACCCTGCCATTCCTATTCCTCCTCCTCCTCACATATGTCTTCTCATTTGCCTCACAATCAGTCTATGTGCTAAATACTGTTGTTACTCACACTTCACTGACGACAAAGCTACAGCTCGGGAAGATCATGTTTTTTTTTTTTTTTTTTTTTTTTTTTTTTTTTGAGACGGAGTTTCGCTCTTGTTACCCAGGCTGGAGTGCAATGGCGCTCTCGGCTCACCGCAACCTCCGCCTCCTGGGTTCAGGCAATTCTCCTGCCTCAGCCTCCTGAATAGCTGGGATTACAGGCATGCACCACCATGCCCAGCTAATGTTTTGTATTTTTTTTAACATGTACATGCAAGAAGTGTCAAAGCCAGGAGTCCCCCGCCTTAAGCTCTTTTAACTTAAAGTGCATGTCCTTTCTATCACTATTCTTCTTTGGTCGCCTCAACTTATAGTGACCTATCCCATACCTAAATTCCTCAGGTATTTAAGGTCTAATTTACACACTATGGCAGTCTATGCTATATTTAAAACATTCTGATATATTTATGTGTTGTTTCTCTAGTCTTTACACTCGTTGAGGAATAACCTATATATTTTTGAGTTCCCCACGGAACAGTGTTCAACACATAAAAATAAACCCTTCAGTTGATATTTGTTGATGTTACTTTGAAGGAATCAACATCCACAATATCTGAACAAAGTCCTCAAAGTAAATTGAGGCTACATTCCTGTAAGATGCGAATGCCATCACTTATAATAGGGAAGTCATTAATTCAACACACTTGGGGGAACACTGGTTATGGGATAATGCTGCTCTCCACTCTCCCTGGGTGTAGAGCCAGATTTGAAGCCACAGCAGATGTGTTTTGATGAGAGAGAGCTTGGAATCTTGTCATGTGATGGAAGGATTAAAGAATTAGGCAAGTTTATTGGAGGAAAAAGGGATGGGACATAATTTTTCTTTTCATGTATTTGATGAATTGCCATATAGAAGAGGAATTCTATTTGCCTGTAAAGTATCTCAAGTTTAAACCAAGATTGGGATTTGTGGGAAATATTTTGGTTCAATATAATGCAGATCATTCTAATATTAAAAGATGAGCAAATAAGGGATAAATTGCCTTGGCAGGCAATGAGCTCCTATAGTTATAAGTGCTTGGGCATGGTCTAGACCAGTGCTGCTGACGTTTACTATGCATATGAATTACTTGGGGATCTTGTTAAAGGGTTGATTCTATTTCAGAAGATCTGGGGAAGGGCGTGATTCTGCGTTTCTAATAAAGTCCCAGGTGATTTTGATGCTGCTTGTTCACTAACTATATTTTGGTGAAAAGGAGCTAGGCAACACTTTGGAAGCAATGTTGTAGAAGATAATTCAAGCAGTAATTGGGTGGTTCAAATAGATGACTTTCAAGATCCCATACTATTCTTAAATACTACATTTTGAAGAAACGTAGAATTTAAGAAAGAATTTCTTGCAATAAAGAGATAGATTAAGAGGTTATAAAAACAGTTTTAACATTAAGAGACCTTTATCAACAGAGGCAACCTCTGCTTGTCTTCCTGTTTGGGAGAACTTTAGCATGACCTGACCTAGAGGCAGAAGGAAGAAGGCAAATAACTTACATTTTTAACATTAATTCAAAAGTTTTAAAAAGGAGAAAAATATGTAAAAGAAATCACCCATAGTCCTATTAAGACTACATGTGTATTTAAATGTTCACTTTGGGATTTTTACCCAGGCACAGGGAATTATTTTAAACATAATTATAATAAGTTAGTATATTTTTGTATCTTGTCATCTTCAGTTAGGACCACTGATTTGTACATGTTTAGGGGGCATAATTTACAAGCAACTCCAGGGGCATTATTTTCACATATTCTTTGTGAATGACGGCCCCTGGAATTAACTCTGCAAGACAGCAACTCTAATAAGTCCTGGAAGAGTTCCTAGCACACAGTAAACATCTGTTAAGTGATTTTCACTTATTATATTCTTTACAAGATTATTTTATAGCCATTACAAATAAGAACAAAGGCATTGCTAGTTTTTAAATAATTGTCTATATTATTACAGTCTTTAAAATGACATAATAAAGGCATTGCAAATATGAACAAAAAATTGTGAGAATGTGGGTAAGTCTAAGTACATATCTTTATATATAAAACAATAATAATTGGGTCTCATGTGTTTCAAATATATATGAAATTCAAATAATGACAAAAAAATCACATAAATCAAGAGGTGAAATTATAGTGGACTTAAAGTATTATGCAGGAGGGAAGCAAACATTAGACTTTGGTAAGTCAAAAATGTGTTTTACAATTTCTAGGGTAGCCACTAAAGACAGAAAAAAGTTGTTCACTAACATGTAGAGGAGAAAATTGAATAATAAAATATAACTTTAAAAATTTCTACCAAAGAAACCCCAGTCTCAGATAGCTTTACTAGCAATTTCTACCAAATATTTAAGGGGAGAAATAAGACCAATCCTACCCAAACATTCCAGAGGATAACAAAAAGGAAATGTATCCCGTAATGAGTTGAACTGTGGCCCCAAAAGATATGTCCACCCAGAATCTCAAAATGTGATTTTATTTAAATAAAGATCTTCACAGATGTCAAGGTAAGAATTTCAAAATGAGGCCGCCTTGGATTAAGATAGGTCCTAAGTCTGATGATGAGCATCCTTACAAGAGATGGAAAAGGAGAAGACACAGAGAGGGAGGTCAAGTGAAGATGAAGGCAAAAATTGCAGATACACAACTACAAGCCAACAAATGCCAGGCAGAGCCTGGAGCCACCAGATGCTGGGAGAGGCAAAGAGGATTTTTCCCGAAAGCCTCCAGAGGGAGTGTGGCCCTGATGACCATGGCTCCTTGATTTCGAACTTCTAACCTCCAGAACTGTTACAGAATACATTTCTGTTGTTTTAAGCACCAATTTTCTAGTAATTTGCTATGGCAGCCCTGAGAAACTAATACGTACCCCAACTCATTATGTGAATTAGCATATATCTTTATATCAAAAGCCCACTGGTTGGGCATGACTACCCAGGACTCTTCCAGTTCTTGAAGTCTGAATTTATAAGAGGAGAGTGACCAACCTTACCGTGAGGTGGGCATTAGGTAGAGCAGCTTTGTATCATTTTGGGATCAATCTGAGGCTTGTGATTAAAGAAGAGTCCAAGAAGAACTACATTATTTTTTTAAGGACATTTGAAGTATTTCTACCTCAACTTGCATCCCAGTTAGATATAGTCACAATAATGCTACATACCAGCCACTGCAAAATTCAATGCCTTCCAAAAAAAAAGAAAGAAAAAAAATGGTGGTGGCTGGCAAGATGGCCAGATAGAACAGCTACCATCTGCAGCTCACAGCAAGATCAATGCAGAAGGCAAGTGATTTCTGCATTTCCAACTGAGGTACCTGGCTCATCTCATTGGGACTGGTTAGACAGTGGGGGCAGCCCATGGAGGGCAAGCAGAAGCAGGGTGAAGTGTTGCCTCATCTGGGAAGCACAAAGGGGTTGGGGAACTCCCTCCCCTAGCCAAGGGAAGCCATGAGGGACTGTGCCCTGAAGAATGGTTCACTTCAGCCCAGATACTACACTTTCCCACAGTCTACACAACCCACAGACCAGGAGATTCCCTCAGGTGCCTACCATGAGGGCCCTGGGTTTCAAGCATAAAACTAGGCAGCCGTTTGACCAGACACCAAGCTAGCTGCAGGAGTTTCTTTTTCATACCCCAGTGGTGCCTGGAACACCAGTAAGACAGAACCATTCACTCCACTGGAAAGGGCCCACATTCCACCATGAGGTCCTTGGGTTTCAAGCATAAAACTAGGCAGCCGTTTGGCCAGACACCAAGCTAGCTGCAGGAGTTTCTTTTCATACCCCAGTGATGCCTGGAACACCAGTAAGACAGAACCATTCACTCCACTGGAAAGGGGGCTGAAGCCAGGGGGCCAAGTGGTCTAGTTCAGCGGATCCCACCTGCATGGAGCCCAGGAAGGTAAGATCCACTGGCTTGAAATTCTCTGCCAGCACAACAGTCTGAAGTCAACCTGGGATGCTGCAGCTTGGTGGAGAGAGGGCCGTCTGCCATTACTGAGGCTTGAGTAGGCGGTTTTCCCCTCACAGCATAAACAAAGTCACCAGGAAGTTCACATTGGGTGGAGCCCACCACAGTTCAGCAAAGCCACTGCAGCCAGACTGCATCTCTAGATTCCTCCTCTCTGGGCAGGGGATCTCTGGAAGAAAGGCAGCAGCCCCCTTCAGGGACTTATAGATCAAACTCCCATCTCACTGAGACAGAGCACCTGGGAATGGGTGACTGTAGGCGCAGCTTCAGCAGACTTAAACATTCCTGTCTGCCAGCTCTGAAGGGAGCCGTGAATCTCCCAGCACAGCGTTGGAGCTCTGCTAAGGGACAGACTGCCTCCTCAAGTGGGTCCTGACCCCCGTGTCTCCTGACTGGGAGACACATCCCAGCAGGGGTCAACAGACATGTTATACAGGACAGTTCTGGCTGGCATCTGGCAGATCCCTCTGGGATGAAACTTCCAGAGGAAAGAACAGGCAGAAATCTTTTCTGTTCTGCAGCCTCTGCTGGT